GTTGAGTGTCCTCTATCAGCTCCAGCTCCCCATGTGGGAACATGAGAGAAGCCAGAAAGACTGTCTGTTGTCTTTAAATTAATGGCCTCTTGCAATGAGGAGAGGAAAGCAGTAAAGAAAAAGCAAAGTTCGCTGGGGTAGAGACTAAGAAAGCACAGAATTTTGGGTAATGTAGTTAGGGAAGGCAAGGAGTCCTATGCCAGAGAATTCAAAAGGCCCTGCCCGAAACACACTTTTTCAAAATTTTGCTCTGGATCAGAAAGTCCCAATCAGGATGAGGGGAGGGAGAGATTTGTCCCTCTGTAGAAGCAGCCAACCAGAATTCCAATAAATTGTTGAATCTGCAAAGAGGAGGACTGACTGATACTTATAGTAAATAAATTGCTGTGATGGGCTGGGAAGAAATCCATAAATGAAAGTTCTAATTGTTAATATGAGAGACATCCAATGAGATAGCTGTTGTGGTTTTTTTTAAATGTTTTTGTCAAAACTTGAAAAAAAATCCCAAAAATCAGTAGATGTGTGAATATTTCTGAAAGTTGGGGGGAATGTTCTCCTATTATCTTGTGCCGCATTATAGAACAATCAAGGAGATAGCTCTTGTAGTTTTTTTTAAAAAAATGTTGTTTATAATAATTGTTATTATTTATTTATTTATTTACTGCACTTGTAGACCGCTGTTCTCAGCCCTAGGGCGACTCACGGCGGTGTACAACATATAAAATCAGGTACAATTTACAACATAAGCAATATCACAACAACATTAAACAACATCACTATCAATACTACAATTACACTAAATCATTCGCGACGTCTCATCGTTGAATCACAATCCCAATCTCGTTATCCATGTTCCGTTCCAATCGTCATTGCCAATTGTTGCAGCACCTACTCAAACGCTTTCTCAAACAACCACGTCTTTAGTCTCTTGCGGAATGTCATAAGGGAGGGCGCCAGTCTGATGTCCACAGGGAGGGTGTTCCACAGCCGGGGGGCCACCACCGAGAAGGCCCTGTCCCTCGTCCCTGCCAGGCGTGCCTGCGAGGCAGGCGGGATCGAGAGAAGGGCCTCCCCGGACGATCTCAAAGTCCTCGTGGGCTCATAGGCCGAGATGCGGGCAAACAGGTATTTTGGGCCGGAACCGTTTAGGGCTTTGTAGGCCAACACCAGCACCTTGAATTGGGCCCGGTAGCAAATCGGCAGCCAGTGGAGCTGGTACAACAAGGGCGTTGTATGCTCCCTGCGTCCCGCTCCTGTTAGTAACATGGCTGCCGCGCGCTGGACTAGCTGGAGCTTCCGGGCCGTCTTCAAGGGCAGCCCCACGTAGAGAGCGTTGCAGTAGTCAAGGCGGGATGTGACCAGAGCGTGTACTACCGTGGCCAAGTCAGACTTCCCGAAGTACACTTTGAAAATTCCCTCCAAATCCAAGGATAAGTGAAATGTTCTGAAACTTGATGAGCTAACAGTGGTAAATTTTAGGCCTGGGTAACAACGCAAAAATTTGTTTCTAAAATCGATTTGTATTTGGGGGGTTTTTTGTTTCGATATTTAAAATAATTACAAAATTTTCCTTTGAAAAAGTTCGATATTTATGAAATTTCGTAAATGGTAAAAATTAATGAATTGATTTCCGAAAAAAAACCAAATCGATTCGTTAATGGCGGACGCGACCGCGAAATACGCTAAAAAACCTCCAAAAACTTCTGAAGCTTCCCTCTCCCTCTGTTGTTGACTGTTGGTGTGATATTATAAATTTTTTTCACTAATTAAACCATAAAACTGGCCCAGACATGCGGAAATAATAACGAAACGACCTCAAAACAATAATGAAACGAATACAATATCGAAATACGAAGCATTTACAAAACGTATTTAAAAATTCATTTTTTTTTATAATTGCTCCAGAATGGTTCGTTATCGTTTTGTAATTGAAAAAATTAACGAATTATTAACGAATTACGAATTAACGAAGCGAAACCGCCCAGCCCTAGTAAATTTGCCCTACCAATGTAGTAAGTTTCACCCCCCAATAAAAATGTGTGAGATAGGAGCCCCTGAAATTTCCTTGCTTGCACAATTACTGTAATGAAAAAGTAACAAAATTTTCACTAACAAAACGTTAGGAACACTTTAAAAAAAAACGCCGATGTGCCCCAATTTTGCAATGCATTTGGAAACATTTTGTTTTCATCGATTGCACAATACTGCTATTTTCCTATGAGTTCAAAGCAATGGAAATTCAAAGTCTGGAAAGGTTCTGTTACAACATTTGCATTTTTTTTTTGTTTTGCATGTGTCAGCATTGGATACCTATGATGGATATAGACCTATGACTGTATTTGCATGTATTATGTCAGATTCTTGCTCACTGTGTTACAAAACAGGGGCTAAATAAGGTCATGGTCTCCTGAGCTTCAAATACAATTGACTGTCTTTTTTCCAGAAATCAAAACACCTCCAAAACATTTTGCTGTCTTCTCCATTCTGCCTTTGAAGAAAGGGAGCTCATTCATGTCCAGCCCCAATGAGTTTTTCTTATGTTGTCATATGACCACAGTCTGAAATTTGAAGTGGGGAAAGGGAACCAGGGAGAACTCCTGCTAGATTTATACAAAGGCCCTAAAACACCAGGGCATCAGGAGAGAAAAAAGTACTAAGGCATCTAGTTACTTTGGGGCCAGATAATATTGCAGTGCTGCTTGGCCAATATACATCATGATTTCTTTCTACTTAACTAGTGATGGAGCAGGCAGATGTCCTAAAAATGAGGCACAAAGGGCAAGCATGGCATGGATTGGCTAGGCACAGGAATTCTGCAGCATTCCCCAAGTCCATGGAGGAATGTTTGTGCGATTGTCTCACTTAGATGCCAAAATTGCCTCATTCAGATGCCCCAACCTCTAGTACAGTGGTTCTCAACCTTCATAATGCCGCGGCCCCTTAATACAGTTCCTCATGTTGTGGTGACCCCCAACCATAACCCTAACATTATGAATCGCCATGTAAATAATGATCTGCAGGATGTATTTTCATTCACTGAAGCAAATTTGGCATACATTTGACTACTGGTGGGGTTGGTGGGGGGATTGATTTTGTCATTTGGGAGTTATAGTTGCTGGGATTAATAGTTAACCTGAAAACAAAGAGTATTCAGAACCCCATCAACAATGTAATTGAACCAAAGTTGGGACACAGAACTCCCATGACCAACAGAAAATACTGGAAGGGTTTGGTGGGCATTGACCTTGAGTTTGGAAGTTGTAGTTCGCCTGCATCCAGAGAGCACTGTGGGCTCAAACAATGTTGGATCTGAACCAAACTTGGCACGGATACTCAATACGCCCAAATGTGAACACTGATGGGCTTTGGGGAAAATAGACTTTGACATTTGGGAGTTGTACTTACTGGGATTCATAGTTCACCTACAATCAAGGAGCGTTCTGAACCCCAACAATGAATTGGGCCAAACTTCCCACACAGAACCCCCATGACCAACAGAAAATACTGTGTTTTCTGATGGTCTTTGGCAACCCCTCTGACACCCCTTCGTGACCCCCCTAGGGGTCCCAACCCCCAGGTTGAGAAAAACTACTCTAGTACTTCACACTTTTGTCCTTTTCTGATCTGCTGCAGACAGCACAGCATAGACAAGTTCCTCTACCATTTTTGTGAAATGTAAATCTACATTTATGTAGTTGCATTATGCCACCCTTCTGCTAAATACTAAACATTGTGTGCCAGATTATGTAACCGCAAAGTAATGGCTGTTTCTGCAGTCCCAGATACTCAAGTGAGGTCACTGATGAATAGTTATCCAAAAATGTACAACTGCATGTGCAGCAGTTACACTTGAGAAGCTCCACTTACATAACTGTGATCTGAATCTATATCAAATTGCCACAAAAGCACAACCACATGCATAAGGGAATTTCAAACTTTATTGCACTAAGCTACTAGTCCACAGCAATGGTTCTATCATATGTAGTGGGTACATAATGGAATGAACACCTTCAATAGCTCATCGTTTATTCTTTCATAAGATTGTGCTGGTTTCACAATCCATGGTTTGTGATCATATTTCTGCATACCATCAAACCCCATCTTCCTGCACTTCTGCTTCTCCATATATTTTTTTAAGAACGGTTACATTTTTGTTTGCAATTTCAGCAATGAAAAACAAGAACATCAAAGGCAAACATAAAATAAATAGAAGGGGAGGGGAAAAAGAGAAAAATCCCATCCTATGATGTCAGCAGTTGTTTACTTCTGTGACTTTACTGTCACAGAAGTGGAAGGGATGCATTGCACAACCTATGATGCTGTTGGTGGTTTCACCATCAATAGTGAAGGACAGATTCATTGTTGTGAGGAGAACGACTGGTTGAAGGATGCATATGGTGTGATGCAATAAGGAACATCATCAAAGGTGACTGTCCAGCTTCAATGTCAGTTTGCCTGAGTAAAGTCCTTAAAAAACCAACTGGATGACAGCAAGTCTTTAGCCAATCCCAATGCAATATCTAAAGCTCCACAAAAGCCATGTATTCCTGGGATCAGACAACAGACAACAATGTTTCAGGCTTTAGTCTCAAGGACTGAAAGACATAAACTACAATTTACATCATCTCAAATACACTTAAATTCTTCCAACAAGCCAGTAAGACCCCACCTTTTCTTTGGCTGTAGCAAATGTTTTATTGACTTGCTGATCTTCGCAGTGATCTACAGATGGAAGAGTTTGAATAAATCATTGCAGAAATAATATCTCTCAGGTCAGCATTCGAGCAGTCAGAAAATTGCAGAAATAATGAAGGATCAAAATAGGATGCAGCATGGGTATACCAAATCATGTTAAAAGGTAGATTATTAGCATTCCCTTGTGATGGGAAAGGGTCTCCATATTTAAAATCTGTTTTCATGTTGATGTTTACCTTGCACACTGATAGAAGCAGTCTGTTCAAACACGAGGATGGATATCTGTTGCCACCTTCTCCTTTTTACTAAGCTCTTTGTCTGATGTTTAGCATGTGAGCAGCCATTTCTTTGAGTTTTGGATTTGTCCATATTAATATTATGGAATGTCCTGAAGGAAATATGGACAATATTATCTCTGTAATCAGTGATAACTCTGTTCGAAAGTGGGAAAAGTCACTTACCAGGTTTATCACACTAGCAATAAATAAAAGGTAGAAGAAGAGAGTGATCAACAAAGGCCTCATGACTTTGAGGTGGACTTGAGTGTTGAGGTCCTGAACACTAGTACCATTCTTTCTGAGGTTTCTCACATGCCTCCACAAGGAGATGAGCAAAAGAAGGGTTGCTGCTATGTTAATGATGAAATTTATGCAAGTGAAAGTTAACTGCACTGGAAAAAAACTAAACCACATATTGCGATCTGCTTCCTCGATACTTAGTGGTGTTACAGTCTGATTACATGGTTCTTTGTATTTGAAAAATGTGATGGTTGAAGGAAGAGAAGAGACCATGAAAATGACCATCGATATGCCAAGTAGTCTGGAGAGAAGCAGATCGATCCTTAACTTTAGCCAAAGGAGGAAAGAATTGGGAAAGTTGATGACCTTCACACAGTAGAAAATGCTTTGCCACGAGACACACCAGAGACTGGCCATATCAAAAAAGACCCAGAAGAAATAGAGCATATTTCTTCTACCTGAAAATTTAAAGAGATGAGTAAAATAGATGACCATGCAATCCAACTGTGTTAGTAATCTAGAGACACTCAAACAGGTCAGGAGGAAATCACAAGGTGACAGCTTCCTCTTCTGGAGCCATTGCAACACAGTCGCAATGAAGATAAATCCATTCCCTGAAAGGGAAACAATCCACAAAATGCCTATAATGCTCCAGGAGAAGATAGCAAATGGAGACATTTTGTAAGCAGGCATCTTCTTCAAGAAATGTCTGGAATATGCAATTGCTTGTGATTCTCCTCGCTTCTCTCTGATACCTAATAGGGAAAACTTTGTTGTGGAGGGTTTTTGAATGTTCAAATCATATGAGCAAGGAATGCAAATATCAGGAGGTATCAGTTACTAATGATCCAATCAGGTATCAGGTCACCTGAGATGTTTTAAGCCTTGAGGAACTATTTTACAACTTTATAATTCATACCAATTTGTTTGCCAAATTCAATCATCCCACCAGGGAGGGAGTTCCATAGCAGAGGGGTGATCACTGAGAAGACCCTCTCTCTCGTCCCCACCAATTATGCCTCTGATGGTGGTGTGATCGAGAGCAGGGCCTCCCCAGAAAATCTTAATCTCTGTGGTTGTTCATATAGGAAGATGTGTTCAGACAGGTAAGTTGGACCAGAACCGTTTATGGCTTTATAGGCCAGAGCTAGCACTTTGAATTGTGCTTGGTTGGCAACCAGTGAAGCTGACGCAACATGGGAGTTGTGTTTTCCCTGTATGCCGCCCTAGTTACTAACCTGGCTGCCTACTATTTGAAGCTTCTGATAAGTCTTCAAAGGCAACCCCATGTAGAGTGCATTACTGTAGTATATCCTAGATGTAATGAGAGCATGGACCACCATGGCCAAGTCTGAATTCTCAAGATCCAGGTGCAACTGGTGCCCAAGTTTTAATTGTGCGAAAGTCCCCCAGCCATCACCAAAACCTGAGGATCCAGGCTCAGCGATGAGTCCAGGAGGACTCCCAAGCTGCAAACCTGTGCCTTCAAGGGGAGTGTAACCCCATCCATCACAGGCTGTAATTCTGTTTGGCCTTGTGACTGACGAGGAGTTTTGTTCTCTTGCTTAGATTTCTCCAGATAGACAATTCCTAGATCCTGCCAATGATCTAGCCACCAGTCTTGCAAGCACAACATGCAGGGCGTAATTGTGATTTAGAACTGTGGCTAAGTATTAGAACTAAACTCCACTTTGGCAGTGTGAACTGCTGCTAGTCCACAGTAATGGTTCTATCATATGTAGTGGTTACGTACTGGGATGAGCACCTTCAACATCTCACCTTTTATTCTTTCATGTGATTGTGCTGGTTTCATAATTCTCGGTCTGTGATCATATTTTGCATCCAATTGAACTCAATTTTCATGCACTTCTGCTTCTCCATAATTTTTTTTACGACTGTTACAAACATTTTTGCACTTTCAGTAATGAAAAACAAGAACACCAAAGTCCAATATAAAGTAAACAGGAGGAGGAGGAGGAGGAGGAGGAGCAGGAGGAGGAGCAGGAGGAGGAGCAGGAGGAGGAGAAGGAGAATTTCATCCTTTGACATGACTTTGCTGCTTCTAGGATTGTGCATTTTGGCTGAACCTCGATCGGTTTCTGCTTGCCAAATTCTGGGAGACCCACAGATCTGTATTTGTGTGCCTCCCAAAAACCAGCAGGTTGCCAAAGAGCCAATTTCAGTCCACAGCTGAAAGATCCTGGAAGATCTGGCCCATTGGTGGGAATGGGGAACTCGCAAGGCTCCGATTTTCATTCCTGGGACCCTTTCCTATCTTCCTTTCAAAGGGAGTTCAGGGTTTGAAAAACTAGGTTAAGGATGCATCCTTCCTGGGACCCTTTCTTATCTTCCTTTCAAGGGAGTCTGGATATGAAGAACTGGTTTAAGGAAGCATGTTTCCTGGGAATTTCCTTAGACACAGCTTGCATAAGATACGCCACAGTGTCCTAATTGGCCCAACAGGCAGGGCAAACAGGGAAAACCCATGCAAGCAGCATCCAGTGGCCTCTCTGTGCCACGTGGTGCCAAATAGAGGAGGAGAAACCCTGATCAGCTGCCACGTGGTCTCATAATGGATGAAAATACGTCACAGCTGAGCCCTTACCATTACATCCATCCGGCCAGTGCAAACAAGGCAGATTGGCCGAATAGGACCGACCACTCCAAATCCATGCACAAGCCTACATTCTGGCACAGAAATGGAAGGGATGCATTGCACATGCTAGGTGAGGGAAATATTGCAGGATTATGAGATACTGATGGTTTGATGATAAATATTGAGGGACAGGTTAATAGTTGTGAGGAGAAAGAATGGTAGCAGGATACATATGGTGTGATGCAATAAGGAACATCATCAAAGGTGACAGTCCAGCCTCAATGTTGGTTTGCCTGCTTTATGAGGTAAAGTCCCCAAAATAGCAATTGGGTGACAACCAGACTTTAGCTAATCCCAATAAAACAATAAAACATGTAAGGCTCTAACAAAGCCATCTATACGTGACATCAGGCACCAGACAGCAATATGATTTTACTCTCAAACATTGAAGGACACAAACTACCATTTACAAGATCCCACATACACTTACATTTTTCGAACAGGCCAGTAAGCCCCCACCCTATCTTAGGCTGTAGCAAATGTCTTATTGATCTGTTGATCTTTGCAGTGATCTATATATGGAAGGGTTTGAATAAATCATTGCAGAAATCTGGATATATCTCAGGTCAGCATTAGAACACTCAGAAAATTGTAGAAATGTTGAAGGATCAAAATAGGATCCAGCATAGGTATAACTTGTACCAAGCCATGTTAAAAGGTAGATTATTATCATTCCCTTGTGATGAAAAATGGTCTCCATATTTAAATTCAGTTTTCATTTTGGTGTTTACTTTGCACACTGATAGAAGCAGTCTCCATTCAAACATGAGGGTGGGTATCTGTTGCCACATCTCCTGTTTATTAAGCTTTTTGTCTGATGTTCAGTATGTGAGCAGCCACTTCTTTGAGTTTTGGATTGGTCCATATTAAAATTATTGAATGTCCTGAAGGAAATATGGACAACATTATCTCTGTAATCAGTGATAGGTTTGATCTAAACTGGGAAAAGTCACTTATTAATTTTATCAAACTAGAAATAAATACAAGGTAGAAGAAGAGTGTGATCAACAAAAGCCTCATGACATTGAGGTGGACCTGAGTGTTGAGATCCTGAAAACTAGTACCATTTTTTCTGAGGTTTCTCACATGCCTCCACAAGGAGATGAGCAAAAGAAGGGTTGCCACAATGTTCACATTGAAATTTATGCAAATGAAAGTTATCTGCACTGGGAAAAAACTAATCCATATGCTATTTTCAACTTCATCAATGGTTGGTGGTGTTACGGTCTGATTACACAGTTCTTTGTATTTGAAAAATGTGATGATTGAAGGGAGAGAAGAGACCATGAAAATGACCATCGATATTCCAAGAAGTCTGGGGAGAAGCAGATCGATCCTTAACTTTAGCCAAAGGAGGAAAGAGTTGGGAAAGTTGATGACCTTCACACAGTAGAAAATGCTGAGCCAGGAGGCACACCAGAGACTGGCCATATTGAGAAAGATCCAGGAGAAAAGGAGCATTTCTCCTCTACCTGAAGAATAAAAGAGATGCATAAAATAGATGGCCATGTTATTCAACTGTGTTAGTAATCTGGAGACGCTCAAACAGGTCAGGAGGAAGTCACAAGGTGACATCTTCCTCTTCTGAAGCCATTGCACCACAGTCACCATGAAGATAAATCCATTCCCTGAAAGGGAAGCAATGCACAAAATACCTATAATGCTCCAGGAGAAGATAGCAAATGGAGACATTTCGAAAGCAGGCATCTTCTTCAAGAAATATCTGGAATATGCAATTGCTTGTGATTCTCCTCATTTCTGTCTGATACCTAATAGGGAAAATTGTACTGTCAGAGGGTTTTTGAATGTTCAAATCATATGAGCAAGGAATGCAAATATCATGAGGTATCGGTTACTAATGATCCAATAAGGTATCAGGTCATCTGAGATATTTTAAGCCCTCAGGAACTATTTTACAATTTTATAATATATACCGATTGGTTTGCCAACTTGATTCATGCTGGGACTTCGTGGTGGAGTATGTTCCTTTTTAAAATTGCTTTGAAGGTGATTTTCCTGCTTCTTGGCAGGTGGTTGGACTGAATGGTCCATGAGGTCTCTTCCAACTCAATGAGTCTATGATTCTAGGAGTAACCTGTAATGGAGGGTACATCTACAGTGTAGAATTAATGCAATTTGGCTTCATTTAACTGCCATAGCTAAATTTGAAATTTGGTGAGACACCAGCAATCTTTGACAAAGAAGGCTGAAGTGTTTGTGAAACTACAATTCCTCTGAGTCCATAATATTGAGTCTTGGAGGTTATGGTGGTGCCAAATTACATTAATTCTACAGTGTGAACGCACCCTTTGTTTCTCCATCTTTCCTTTCACGTTCCGAAATTTCCTTCTTGTTTTTACTCATCCCCTTTTTCAGTGGGTGGTACATATTCTCTATCAGTCTTGCAGCCTGTGTCACCATTAGGTGACACATTAATAAATGCAGTCTAAGGCTTTAAGCCTCCAGCAAAGGATCACCGCCTTGTTGTGGCGCTGGAGCTTGAGCACCTCAATGATGTCATGAGCGAAACCGTGAAGGGTCACCCAAGACGGGACGGTCGTGGCAGAGAGGTCAGACCAAGCGTGATCCCTGGGGAAGGCAACGGCAAACCACCCCAGTATCCTTGCCAAGAAAACTAAATGGACCAGTACAACCAGAGATATGTCGGTATGCCATTGGAAGATGGGACTCCCAGGTCAGAAGATGGCCAAAATGCTACTGGGGAGGAGCAGAGGATAAGTTCAACTAGCCCCAGATGTGATGACGCAGCTAGCTCAAAGCCGAAAGGAAGGCTAGCGGCCGACGGTACTGAAGGTGAACGACGAATCCGATGCTCTAAAGATCAACACACCATAGGAACCTGGAATGTAAGATCTATGAGCCAGGGCAAATTGGATGTTGTTATTGGCGAGATGTCAAGACTAAAGATAGACATTCTGGGGGTCAGCGAACTGAAATGGACTGGAATGGGCCACTTCACATCAGATGACCACCAGATCTACTACTGCGGACAAGAGGAACACCGAAGAAATGGAGTAGCCTTCATAATTAATAAGAAATTCGCTAAAGCAGTGCTTGGATACAACCCAAAAAATGACAGAATGATCTCAATTCGAGTGCAAGGAAAGCCTTTCAACATCACAGTGATCCAAATATACGCCCCAACCACAGCTGCTGAAGAAGCAGAAGTAGATCAGTTCTCTGAGGATCTGCAGGACCTACTGGATAATACACCAAAAAGAGACATTATTTTCATTACAGGAGACTGGAATGCCAAGGTGGGAAGTCAAATGACAACTGGGATCACAGGCAAGCACGGTCTGGGAGAACAAAATGAAGCGGGACGCAGGCTGATAGAGTTTTGCCAGGAAAACTCGCTGTGTATAACAAACACTCTCTTCCAACAACCTAAAAGACGGCTTTATACATGGACTTCACCAGATGGTCAGCACCGAAATCAGATTGACTACATCCTTTGCAGCCAAAGGTGGCAGACATCCATCCAGTCGTGAAAACAAGACCTGGGGCTGACTGTAGCTCAGATCACGAACTTCTTATTGCTCCATTTAGAATAAAACTAAAGAGATCAGGGAAAATACACAGACCAGTTAGATATGATCTCACTAACATTCCTAGCGAATATACAGTGGAAGTGAAGAACAGATTTGAAGGACTAGATTTAGTAAACAGAGTCCCAGAAGAACTATGGACAGAAATCCGAGACATTGTTCAGGAGGCGGCAACAAAGTACGTCCCAAAGAAAAAGAAAACCAAGAAGGCAAAATGGTTGTCTGCTGAGACACTGGAAGTAGCCCAAGAAAGGAGGAAAGCAAAAGGAAACAGGGATAAGGGGAGATATGCACAGTTAAATGCGCAATTCCAGAGGTTAGCCAGAAGAGATAAGGAACTATTTTTAAATAAGCAATGCATGGAAGTGGAAGAAGACAACAGAATAGGAAGGACAAGAGACCTCTTCCAGAAAATTAGAAACATTGGAGGTAAATTTCAGGCAAAAATTGGTATGATAAGAAACAAAGATGACAGGGACCTAACAGAAGCTGAAGAGATCAAGAGAAGGTGGCGAGACTATACAGAAGATCTGTATAGGAAGGATAATAATATCGAGGATAGTTTTGACGGTGTGGTGAATGAAGTAGAACCAGACATCCTGAGGAGTGAGGTTGAATGGGCCTTAAGAAGCATTGCTAACAACAAGGCAGCAGGAGATGACGGGATCCCAGCTGAACTGTTTAAAATCTTAAAAGATGATGCTGTCAAGGTGATGCATGCCATATGCCAGCAAATATGGAAAACACAAGAATGGCCATCAGACTGGAAAAAATCAACTTATATCCCCATACCAAAAAATGGAAATGCGAAAGACTGCTCAAACTTCCGTACAGTGGCCCTTATTTCTCATGCCAGTAAGGTAATGCTCAAGATCCTGCAAGGAAGACTCCAGCAAGACATGGAGCGAGAGTTGCCAGATGTTCAAGCTGGGTTTAGAAAAGGCAGAGGAACGAGAGACCAGATTGCCAATATCCGCTGGATAATGGAGAAAGGCAGGGAGTTTCAGAAAAACATCTATTTTTTGCTTCATTGACTATTCTAAAGCCTTTGACTGTGTGGATCATAATAAATTGTGGCAAGTTCTTGGTGGGATGGGCATACCAAGCCACCTTGTCTCTCTCCTGAGGAATCTGTACAAGGACCAAGTAGCAACAGTCAGAACTGACCACGGAACAACAGGCTGGTTCAAGATTGGGAAAGGCGTACGGCAAGGCTGCATCCTCTCACCCAACCTTTTTAACTTGTATGCAGAACACATCATGCGATGTGCGGGGCTTGATGAATGCAAAGCTGGGGTGAAAATTGCTGGAAGAAACATTAACAACCTCAGATATGCAGATGACACCACTCTGGTGGCCGAAAGCGAGGAGGAGCTGAGGAGCCTTCTAATCAAGGTGAAAGAAGAAAGCGCAAAAGCTGGGTTGCAGCTAAACATAAAAAAAACCAAGTTTATGGCAACAAGAATGATTGACAACTGGGAAATAGAGGGAGAAAACGTGGAGGCCGTGACAGACTTTGTATTTCTAGGCGCAAAGATTACTGCAGATGCAGACTGTGGCCAGGAAATCAGAAGACGCTTACTTCTTGGGAGGAGAGCAATGTCCAGTCTCGATAAAATAGTAAAGAGTAGAGACATCAGACTGGCAACAAAGATCCGCCTAGTCCAAGCCATGGTATTCCCTGTAGTCACCTACGGATGTGAGAGCTGGACCTTAGGGAAGGCTGAGCGAAGGAAGATCGATGCTTTTGAGCTGTGGTGCTGGAGGAAAGTGCTGAGAGTGCCTTGGACCGAGAGAAGATCCAACCAGTCCATCCTCCAGGAAATAAAGCCCGACTGCTCATTGGAGGGAAGGATACTAGAGACAAAGTTGAAGTACTTTGGCCACATCATGAGGAGACAGCAAAGCCTAGAGAAGACAATTATGCTGGGGAAAGTGGAAGGCAAAAGGAAGAGGGGCCGACCAAGGACAAGATGGATGGATGGCATCCTTGAAGTGACTGGACTGACCTTGAAGGAGCTGGGGGTGGTGACAGCCGACAGGGAGCTCTGGCGTGGACTGGTCCATGAGGTCACGAAGAGTCAGAGACGACTGAATGAATGAACAACAACAACAACAAGGCTTTAAGCAATTTTGTTTAATGACATTAATGGTAACGATAGATATTTCTGTTGCTAATGGGTCAACATTAACAAATTAACTTTCACACATGATAGTCAAAGAGCTGCCTTTTCTGTTCCATCCTCAAAATGTACATGGAAACTTGAAGTTATTACCACCTTGTGGAGGGTGTCCCACAGCATCTAAAAACTAATGAGAAGGCGAGTGGTTTATTCTAATAATTACTTCCCATTGTGCTTTAAAATGTAGCCAGAATGGAAATTGGGTGCCCCGTAGCTTCAGCTGAATGGTCCGTCTTCTGTATTTTAATTTACTTTCCATTTCATTTTTCATTTGTTTACCATCTTTCTGTATTGCTTTACTAACAGTTTACAATTTATAGAAATGACACATTTCACATCTTTTAACTAGCAAACAATTTCTATAATAATCTGATAGACAAATGTTGCCAGGAAAAATATGTAACCAGAAAGGAAAGAGGTAGATTTGACTTTACTGCCACCGGGCTTGTGCATTTTGACTGAACCTTGATCCATTTCTGCTGGCCAAATACCAGGAGACAGGCAGATCTGTTTTTGCATGCCTCCCAAAAATGGACAGGTTTCCAACGAGCCATTTCTGGTCTGCAGCCAAAAGATCCTGGAAGATCCAACCCACTGGCCGGAATGGGGAACTTATGAGGTTCCCCTTTCTGTTCCTGGAAACCTTTCTATCTTCCTTCAAGGAAGTCTGGGTTTGAAAAACTGGGTTAAGGAAGCACGCCTCCTGGGTCCCTTTCCTATCTTCCTTTCAAGGGAGTTTGGGTTTGAAGAACTGGGTTAAGGAAGCATCCCTCTGGGGACCCTTTACTATCTTTCTTTCAAAGGAGTTTGGGTTTGAAGAATGCGGTTAAGGAAGCATGTTTCCTGGGACTCTTTCCTTAGACACAGCTTGCATAAGACACATCACAGTGTTCTATTCTGATTGGCCTAACAGGGAGGGCTCATACAGAAACCTGTGCAA